ATTTCTATCCTACTGGGATAACATTTTGAGGTGTACGCGCAATAGAGCCAAAAACTTTTCGTTTATTTAGCGAGTCTAGTTCAGCCTCAGTTGCTTCTTTCCATCTTACCCAATCGGAGCGCTTCCGGCACTCTAAAATTGATTTTGGTTCTGGATCCAGATTATTGGAGATGGTAAAAGCAACTATAGAGTCAAATGTGTCGTCGACGACTATGTTACTTCTATTATAAGTTTCTCCTGTATCAACAAAATTCGTAGCTACTTCAATATTCACATCAACCAGATCTTCATCATTTCCCAATATATTTTGATCTGGATGTTCCGCAATCCTAGTATTTTTATTATTTGTTGCACGTGCATTTAAACTAGGATTTTCGCCTTCTGGACGATTCTCTTCTGGAGATTTCAGGAGTGATTCAACATTCTTATGAGATTTCGTTTTCCGCGGATTATTGTCTTTTGTACCAACGGGTCTACCACTCTTCTGGCGTGGAGCATCTGCAGGATTATTAGATTTTATGGGGACTTCCACACGTTGTGGAGCATTTATTGAAGGTACATGAGATTTGGTCACTCCTTTATGATCAGTAAATGCATTTGGCAGATTATTTGCTAAATATTGCAAATTAATTATATTTTGAACTTCAAGTTCAGTTTGATTAGTGCGTGGATCTAAATAATGTAGATTTTCTACATTCCAAGAAATTTCTCGGCATTTATTTAAGTTTGGGCTTTTATCTCCCCCTAATGCCGGAAAATTCTCTTCATCGAATATGCAGTCAGCGTACCTAGCTGTAAATTGATCCCCAGTCATGGGCTCTAGGTATTTGAGAATAAATGGAGATTCATACCCAATATATATACCAAGCTTTCTATGAGGGCCCATAGAGGTACGCTGTGGTGGTGAGATGGGAACATAGACTGCACAACCAAATACTCGCAGATGGGAAATGTTAGGTTCTTTACCACACACTAGTTGTATAGGGGAGTAATCATGATATGCAGTAGGTCGAATTTGAATTAGGGTAGCAGCATGTAAAATTGCATGTCCCCAACATGAAATTGGTAAGTTGGAATTGTGTAACAATGGTCTAGCAATTAATTTGATGCGCTTAATGAGTGATTCGGCTAGACCATTTTGTGTGTGGACATAAGGTACCGGATGCTCCACTTTGATGCCCAGTGACATACAGTAATCATCAAAAGCTTTCGATGTAAATTCACCGGCATTATCCATTCTAATAGTTTTAATTTGATGATCAGGAAATTGAGCTCTTAATTCAATAATTTTAGCAAGGAGCTTTGGAAAAGCCTGATTTCTAGTGGATAATAAACACACATATGTCCATCGAGTGGAAGCATCTATCAATACCATAAAATATCGAAAAAGTCCCGAAGTGGGATGAATAGGGCCACATATATCACCTTGAATCCTATGAAGAAATGTAGGAGATTCAATTCCAACTTTAGTACGTGAAGGTCTCAATATTAATTTTCCCTTTGCACAAGCATCACAAATAAATTCATTAAAAGAAGGGAGATTGCTGCTTGAGACGTTATGCCCAATAGAGCTTGAAAGAATCCGACGCATCATACTAAGCCCAGGATGACCCAATCGCTCATGCCATAATTTAAATGAATATGGGTCTTTGAATTTTAAGCTCAATGCAACATGATTAACCACAGGTCGAATGTAAGTATGGTACAAGCCTGAGGAGAAAGAGGGAAGTTCTTCTACAATTTTCTTTTGAATTCCTTGTGAATGAGTAATTAGAAGATACTCTTTTCAGTCTTAGTTTCAATATGAAAACCATTAGATCGAATATCTGTAAAACTAAGGAGTGTTCTTTGTAATTCAGGGTACAAAAGCGCATTGTTAATTATTAATTCGGTACCCTTAGGAAGAGTAAGTAAAGCTCTGCCGGAGCCTACTATCAAGATTTTATCATGAGCAATTGTAGAAACACTCCCTTTCTTTTCATTGAAAGTTTGAAAAAATTCCCTATCTTTCAAAATAGTGTGCGTAGTAGCACTGTCGACTAGACATAAAATGCCCTCTTTCTCTCCATAAGATGCAAACTAATGAATGGTTGTGGTACACTAAAAGAAAAGTAAAATATTGTAAGCAAACGAAGCAATCACGAAGTCCCAATCAAAACATAACGTCTGAAAACATACCAATAGCAAAAAACAAATGTCTGGCGAAGCAAAAGAAATCAGAACTGTCTAATAGCAAGAAACAAACCAAGAAATAAAAATATCCAGTTCTAAGGTAGAATGCATATTAATCACATATCATCACCATAGTCCTCGAGCTCGAGCTTCAATAAATCATCATCATCATCATTGATGGCTAAATTTGCTTCAGGCAAACTAGCATGATGTGATTCACCTTGAGGAGCCTTGCCTTTCTTATCCTTAAGCATTCTTTGATAGGCCTCAACTAGATGTCGAGGAGTACGACATGTGCGGGACCAATGGCCACTGCATCCACATCTATAGCACACTTTCTTATCTTGATTAGCTTGTGGAGCATCGATGTTGAGATTTTCTGTATGACCTGTCGGTTCCTCAACACCATGACCTCGTCCTCCACCTCGAGTCCAGACATGACTACGACCGCGACCGCGACCACGACCACGACCGCGACCATGACCACGACCACCACGGGGTGGCTGGGTATGATATCCTCGACCTCTCCCTCGCACATTATGATGTCCGTGAGTAGTCGCATGTGCTTCAGGCACAGCTTGAGTTCCAACAGGCCTAGCATTATGATTTTTCATCAACAACTGGTTGTGTTTTTCGGCTACAAGCAAGGCCGATATCAGCTCAGAGTGAGTTGCATAGTTTTTAGCCCTATACTGCTGCTGGAGTACAAGGTTACTAGCATGAAAAGTTGATAAAGTTTTTTCAAGTAACTCGGCCTCTGTAATGTTTTGCTTACAGAGTTTCAGCTGTGAAACAATACGATGTAGGGCCGAATTATATTCAGTGACGGATTTAAAGTCCTGAAACCGAATATTAAGCCAGTCATACTGAGCTTGAGGGAGAATTATGGCCGTTTGTTTGTCAAAGCGATCCTTCAGGGATTTCCAAAGATTGGCGGGATCTTTTTCGTTGAGATATTCATTTTTCAGATCTTTATTGAGATGATGACGAAGAAAAATCAATGCTTTCGCCTTCTGGGCGAGAGTGCTCTGAGATTTAGAATCAATTGTGGCACTTAAGTCAAATGAGGCCAGGTGAATCTCAACATCAAGGGCCCAAGTCAAATAATTACTTCCATCAAGGGTGAGCTCAGCAAATTCTCTTTTGGTGATATCAGACATCTATAATTTATTCAATACAAACATAATATGATTATTGAAGAATATGATGAATAAACTTGGAAAGGTAAAATAAATCCATGAAACTATGCATTTAGATTGTTAATCTATCAAACATTCTGCTACGATAATATCATCAAGTAATACTGTAATAATTAAAAGATGTTTTAAATGTACATAGCACAAGATTTTAATAAACAAGAAGCTTTGTCAATAGAATTCATCAACTACAATGCTATTTGTAATTCCTGCCACTCACTGGGCGCATGGCTAATGTATATACATAAAAAAAAAATTAACTAACAACCAGAAAGAAAAACTCCACAAATGACCCACCAGATAAATTTCGGTAAAAAATATGCGAGCAATTTCGGTAAATAAAAAGCGCATGTACAGGCTGATAAAGTGCATACAAAAAGATTGATAAGGCATGAAAAGAACAATATTTCAGTCAAGAACTCTGGATGTAACATAAGAATTAACAATTAAGGACTTCAATAGAAAAGGCCAAAGTGTACCAAAATAAAAAACGTTAAAAAAAATCAGCAACAAATTTGTACCAGTCGGTCAACTTCAATTTGTTAGTTGAAGCTCTAAAAAGGAAATGACAATTATTTCACTGCTTCACCCGACCAAATTTAAATTTAATACCACCAAAAAGTACTTCTTTACCAAAAATCTTCAAAATTTAAGGTCACCACTTAATAAAATCAATTCAAAACTTCAAGCTCTTTCACCACTAATTATTCATGCCACCCTCATGTACACACAGATCGAAGTGTATTTCCTCCATTGAACCAGATTACAGTTTAAGACAATTAAAAAAAACAAGCAAAAGCCCATAGTAATTCATAATTTACCCAGTAAATTCACAGGACGATCAAGCCATTCATTCAACATAAAATTTTATGAATTTAGGAAAATAAACAGATCTCGAAAATACCTTGCAGGAAAAATACGATTTTTTCCTAGGGCAAACACCAATAACGAACTAGAGCGTGCTGATAACGTGTTGTAAATTGGAGTCCTCAATATTCACCAAGCATCCATCAATCAACCAAACATAAAGATGTGCAGTAAAAGAACAAGAAAAGGAGCAGAAAAGTATATCTCTTATTCATCGGTATTCACTCTTTTATAGAGTTTACAAAGGGAGAAACCCTAAAACCTAATCCTACTAACTAATGGACTTCAGACCCAATTATATATTAGTAATGTCCATATTAATATATTTATAACAGGGTTTTGTTTAATTATCTAGAATACAAATTTGAAATTCATTGAATACACTTACAAAATAAATAATGATTCATACACTTACAAAATATCGTATATATTCTGCTAAATAATTTAACCGATTTATTTAAGACTATTTACAATCTTAATATAATTTGTGGCGATAGATGATGTACCAAAAGACCAAACAAATATTTTGTGTACAAAGATGTGTTTAATAATAACGTTACATTGTGTTTCATTTCAATATATGTATTTTACGTTCTTTCAATCATCCAAATTTAACTGCTTACCTTAATAAAACTAGCTCGTGCATCGCACGGGTACCGCACTAGTATATTTATAACAATAACAATATTTTTTATTTCTAATTAATACACTCTCATTCCCAACATTTTGTCATCTCCGATTTCTCTCTCTACAGTAAGGCTGATCATGGTGAGAGACCCTCAACCTCTACAGTTTTTTCTTTGAACTAATCTACTGTTATATTACCAGACAACACCAACCTTAAGTTATCTCCTTTGTTTTCCCCATTAAAATTTAGGCGAATGACGCTGGTGAGGGGTCAAAGAAGCTGAAGCTCTACTCCTACTGGCGGAGCTCGTGCTCTTGCCGCGTTCGAATTGCTCTCAATCTCAAACGTATTTTTTTTTTTTTTGTTTAATTCTTTTTTTTTTCTGTTTATTTTGCTGAACATTTGTTATTCTGCTCTTCAAGATTTTTGTTACTGTTGTGTTTGAGTAATTAACAGGGCTGGACTATGAGTACATAGCGGTTAATTTGCTTAAAGGAGAACAGAAAGCTCCCGGTTTGTTGCCTTTTCCTTTTACCTTCCATTTATTTTTGATTTGATATGTTTTGTAATGGATTATGTGAAGCGTTGGTTGATAACCATTTTGCAATATTTATGTTTTTATAACGTATTCTGTTTTATTTTTTTTTATTTATATTTTTTTTTTTCTGTGGGTGCTTTAGAGTTTCTGAAGCTTAATCCTCTTGGATGTGTACCGGTGCTTGTTGATGGTGATGATGTTGTTGCAGACTCTTTTGCAATCTTGCAGGCAAGAGTCTTCATTCATTTGCGATTTGAATTTATGATAAGACTTTCTGTTTTTTGAGTGTATGATTGTAAGAATAATTCCGAATATGCAGTATCTGGAAGAGAAGTATCCTCAACGGCCATTGTTGCCGAAGGATCTTCAGAAGAAGGCCTTGAATTACCAGGTGAGTTTTCTGATGATTTGAAAGAATTGTTGTTTTGCATGAGTAATGTGAGTGAAGAATGGCCCTAGTGAGTCACCCTCTTTCAGTGGCTGCATAGTACTGATTATTATGATTAGTGACACTTCCCTGGGAAAGCATTGTTGTCACAGAAAATAAGTACTATATTAGATCACTGTCAGAAATTAATCTTGTAATATTTTTTCGTTCTGAAAAATACTTTTCCCTCCTTTTTGCCTTCTTGTCATCAGGTTGACGGGTGGCTGATCTTGGATGAAATAACCAAATAATGATGAAACTGTATTAACACTATAGTATATTTAGTGTTCGAAGTAAATGTTGATAAAACAAATTAAATTTTGTGTTCTTGTTATATAATAAAGTGATTCTGTTAAATGCACTCGATTAAATGCTCATTATCCTACAAAGCTCATTTGATACTCAAGAAAGGAGGGAAGAAAAAGAAACTTCTATTTTGTCTACTTGAATCTATGTTTTGCATGATCAATATCTGTTGTATTTCACATTTTATGAATTAAAGTTCACCGCTCTCTGGATTTGGCATGCTAGTTTTACTTAGTTCTCTAATATGTAGATTTTTTCTGTCAGTTCTTGCTTCTGATGGGTTCCTTGTCTTTCTCATGCAGGCAGCAAATATAGTTTGTGCAAGCATACAGCCTTACCAAAACTTACCTGTTATTGTGAGTGTATAATCACTCTTTTGATTCCAGTCCAAGTCCCCCAACAGGAGGATCTGACTGAAACATGAATACTTTGCTCTTATTATTTCAGGGATATATAAAAGAAAAACTTGGCCCTGATGAGATGCTTGCTTGGGTTCAGAATCGTATAAACGACGGGTTTGCTGGTAAGCTATGACCATAATGCACGCCTTAATTGGATTAATAGCCATTTCAAAATGAAGTTTGAGGGACCCATGCTAGGATTTAGTTTAATTTAAAACTAGGATTAATAGCCATTTCAAAATTTGACATACAGGTTCTTATTCATAAAATATTGGCATTGTTTATCAACATAGCTAATGTGCATATTGTGTTCTCATTCAACCTCATGCTAGCCAGACCCTAATTTTGATCCAGATACAAGGGATGTGGTTCTCTTTTGAAAACGCAGTTTCAGTGGCATAATGCTACAGCTAGAGTACTTTGATGAAGGAACACACATTGTATGATGTCATTAAATATTTATCATTTGATTTTGTTTTGTTTAATGGTGTAGAATGATCGTGTTCTATTGAATTAAAAAACATTGGCTAATAGGACGTTCAGTAGTACATATATTCGTTATCTAGTCGTCCTCCTGCAAATCCTAGTAATAGCGCCTTGAAATGCTGCAGTGCAAATTTTCCTTTCTTTCTTTATTTACCGTCACTAGCAATATACTTATTTGATTCGGAGTGAAAATGCAGCTCTGGAGCAGCTACTGCAAAAATATGCTGGGAAGTATGCCACGGGAGATGAAGTTTTTCTGGTTTGTCACTTTCCACAATCACAGTTTAGCTAGTCAAAACTTATGTAGCACTGCAATCACGGATAGCTAAGTACATATATATTGTTGGTGATGGTGACTATATCTGAATTTTGAAAGAACCCTTTTGAAAAACTTCTGCTGAAACCTTAATTGTAGCTTGAAAGTTCATACCCACTCAGAAAAGTAACTTTCAATGCCTGTGGTTTTGGTAGTATCATATAATCGCTACATATTTACACGTGGCATTAGTACACTGCATCGCTATATAGTAAACTGTCACCGAAGTCATCTAGGGTAATGTCTGCATAAACTATAGCAGATTCATGTATTAAGTTAATTCCTTGCTCATCTGGTGTAATTGGGAGACTTTTTACTGTAGTTTCTTAAAATTTTTGTAGGCTGATTTGTTTTTGGCCCCTCAGATTGACGGTGCAGTCAAAAGATTCAATATTAACATGGTAAGCCTTTAGTGAAACCCAATCATATATGCTTCTTTAAATGAAAAAGATTCCATCAGTTGATCAGACTATTTGCACTTTTTTCCCAAGAATGTCTGAAAACACCACTGTTCTCCTTTCACGCCCAATGTTCAACGACATTAATAGTTCCTTTGCATTCATCAAGCATCAATAATTGTGTGGGCTAGATTCCATATTATCATGCATCAATAAATAGTTCCTTTGCATTTATCATGCTTTGATGTTTTCTGCTTGTTATCAATTAGCTCAAGTTCAATTTTCATTGTTCCAGAATGAGTTCCCTCTTCTGGCAAAGCTTAGTGAGTCATACAAAGAGCACCCAGCCTTCCAAGATGCTATGCCCGGAAAGCAGCCTGACGCGCCACAAATTCAAGGAACTGACTGAAAGAGGTTCGATTTCTTTGAGGTGAAACTATCTCCACCTTGTGCATGCATGTATTACTTTTTGAATCATGCTCGCTTGAGGGCAAAATTGTAATCTTATTCTAGCACCGACGGAAATCATCCACTAGACACCACATTGTGCAAATCTAAATAACGAGTAATGACTTTTTAGCACGGCAAAATGGGACCACTTAGCTTCGGCAGCTGGTTTTGAATTTCCCTCGGTCAATAACTCGATTTGCTCTTCATTTTATCTCTACAGGTGTGAGTGCAATATGTGATTTTCCAGGGATAAATCAACTTTTGTCCATTAGTCAGTGAACAATTTTCGCAATTTTTGTTAGCTCGATATCATCAGTGACCAACACCGTAGATGGATCACAATTTTTCAGTAGTGCTCATCCACACATTTTTTGACTGAGCAAAACAATACTTATCCTTACATTTTTCTACTTGATATAAGACCTGAGCATACATCGATGTTGGCTTATGATTGTGGGTAAAAACTGGATTCTACACTCTTTTTTTAGTCTATAACTTTATTATTTACGCAGCTATTGGGTCATCAAAGAGTTACAAGATTGTGTTGGGTTCCACGCTAAAGGGAGATCCAAATATCCAATATGTGCTTTTATCGTTCATATCAACTGTAGTAGAATGATGATGGGAATAATTGCAATTCAGATTTACTATTGTCTTATGTGAGATTGTCACACTACTTAATATAATGGGACAAATGATTATGTCTTTGGTTGGATGTACACTCCTTTTTCATATAAATTGACTTCTGGCAGCTGGCATAGTTGTGCCTCTCTATTAAGAGTGTGCAAATTTCATTTTTTGTCATGTATGTTTCGTTATTATCAGTTCCTTATAAAATATAAATAATTGATTCACAGTCTAGACAGAACTGAACTACCTGTTGTGAAAGCGTGTAGTGCGAATTACATTAGTACGTAGTGTGCACTGAATGGACCTACGGAGGATAAGATTATTTTATACTGACCAAGTAAATAATCCGGTAATTGGTGCATTCTCATAACCCGTTAGACTGTAAAACGGGTATATGCATTCAACACTTATTTATTTGATAACCAAGGGTGATTCCTATTTTAGTTAGGACAACATACACGGTATTTTGGTAAATAATGTTATTTTGGTAAATAATGTTGTTTGCATGATATTCTGTTTAAATTGTTTACGGTCACTATGTCCCGGTCTCTCTCTGTTCTCTCTCTTGTGTTCTCTTCTTCTTCTCCAAGTAATCTCAGTAGAGATAGATCGATTTCATCGCCCACCAAGATAATCGGATTAGATGTCGGGTCATACAACAGAAGATCTAAGGTGATCGAGCGATTTATATATATTTATCCAACCCCGTAATATATATATATATATATATATATATATTCAAGCCCGTAATTTATCTGTAATTCGCGGGGTTGTCCGTTCTACACGAAAAGATAGAATTGTGCAAATCAGATATATTGTGAGTAACCGGTGACCTCCGGCGACCATCCCACGATGACTGGCGTAATTCTGGCGACCAGCCGCCGCCGGTCGCGGCAGTGCAGACGACACGCGTGATGAAGAACCGTGTGTCCGATTGTCGACAAGCCGCTCCCGCGCCTTAAATCGCACGATAGGTGTTAGGAGGTTCACACACTCGCCCCTCGAAACGAATAAAATTGCAGAAGAAATCAAGAAGAAATCTAAAGCAAAGTGTTTGAACAGAAGTTCGATTTTTTGTATTAATTTCTGAATGAATAAAATAACAAGAGGAAGGGCCTTTATATAAGCATCAACTAGATTTAGTCCTAACTTACCTATAACTCTAATAAACCAATAAAATATTAAGTAACCTAAACAATCTAGAAATCTGAAAGCAATAAGGAAACAAAATAACTAAAGGATTCTATGTGATCTTGTCTTGCACTCCAAGTAGAAACCCTAGCCGCCTTGGACACCCCACTGCCCGCGGCGCGCTTCGCCTTAGTCTTCGAGGACTAAGGTCTCGGCCACTGCGCGTGTGCCGCTGTCACGCGTACCGCGCGCGCCTGCGTCCTCTGCGGCTTCCTCGCGCGCGTCGCGCCCACCTGCCCAACCGCTTGCCTCGAGGATTGAGGCCTTGCTCCCCAGGGGTGCGCGTGCCTTCTCGCTGCCCGCATCCTTCGCGCCCGCAACCGTTGTGCCCATCGCGCGCGTGTCCCATTCGCGCGCCAGTCGCGCATTTCCATCCGTCGGCTTCGGATTGCTAGTCTCGCGCACGTCGTCTCCATCGATCGCCTGTGTTTCGCCCGTGCGCCGTGCTAGCCTCTTTCGCGCATGATAGGCGCGGCTTGAGGCGTTCTTGAGCTGCCTAGACACATTCGCATCATTCCCGTCCCTTTCAAGTGTTTCCTTGTCCTCAAGGATGAATTTGGGAAATTGATCGCGAATCTCATCTAGGTCCTCCCACGTGGCTTCCTCCGGTGGCAACTCTTCCCACTCAACTAATACTTTCCATCGGTAACAACTCACTTTCCTTACTTGTCAATACTCAATTGCACGGCTTGGTCGCACTATAGCTCTTTCATCGGTCGCGGTTGTCGGTAGCCCCTCGCACCACTTGTGCGCTTCTCCTAAACTCCTCTTGAGCTGCGAGACATGTATGACCGGATGGATGTGCGAGCTCTCTGGCAGCTCTGGACGATAAGCCACTTGGCCTATGCGCTTCAGGATCTGGTATGGACCATAATAGCGCACCCCAAGTTTGGTTGCGACCCTTTGCGCAGTCGTGCGTTTCCTAAACGGTCGTAGCTTCAGGTAGAATTGTCGCCCGGCTCAAAGCTCTCCTCACGCCTCTTGCCGTCGTGAAAAGATTTCATGCGGTTAATCAAGCCTTCGAGATTCTTCTGCAACTCTCGTAACATCAAATCTCGCTCCTCAAGCTCTCGACCAACTTCGTCGTTGATAGCGCCTCCTTCTGAGTAGCTCACTAGCGTTTGCGGTTTGCGCCCATACACTAACTCGAATGGTGTAGTCTTGGTCGAGCCGTGGTACGTAGTATTGTACCAATACTCAGCCCACGGTAGAAAGTTCTCCCATTTCTTTAGAAATTGATGAACGTAGCATCGGAAGTATTGCTCCAGCGTACGGTTGGTCACCTCGGTCTGCCCATCCGTCTGTGGGTGGTATGCTGAACTTATCGATAGCTTGGTCCCTTGCAACTTGAAGAATTCGGACCAAAAGCTACTCATAAAGATTGGGTCACGGTCAGAGACAAAAGAGCGTGGGCATTGATGGAGAAGCTGTTAGAAACTGTCCGCCTATTTGTGCGAGCTAATGAATGCACAGATGCAAGGGGCCGGTCTTGCTATACACCATTGGTTAGCTCTTAACTCGGAAGAAGAAGATTGAAATAGCTTCATCAAAATGATTTTTAGAAAGATATCCTGGCTCTTGGTAGTTTTGATTAGTTTGGTCTTGACTCTTAGGAATCGACGAAATATACTGGAAATTTATTCTCTTGCTTCGTCTCTAGAATGGGCTCTTTACTCACCAACAAACACCTGCCAGGAAAAGGATGTCAAGCTTCAGTGTGCCAAGTGAGCACCCCCCATTGGTCAGTCGACGACGAGCTAAAGCTGCTAGTGGAGACAGGTCAATTGTTGGGGTGGGACGCTAGTACTTAAACTAGGGTTGCTTCTTAGCGCTAATCTTGCGTTTTCAATCATTCTTTTCTATTCCTCATTGCGCCCTTTTTAGTATGGAAATGGGTTAAGGAAGCCAATGACTCGAGTTCAATTAGTTCTATACATCGTGTTACCACTTAACACAATACCTGAAAGATATAACAAAGAAATTTCATATTGATTGAACAAACAATTTCATATTGATTAAACAAACAATTTCATATTGATTAAACAAACACGGAGCGGTTAAAAGCCCAATGCTCTACCAACCAAGTGGCGGGAAGACCGAGCAGCTAACCTGTCGACCAATCAAGTAGTCGTCCACGGCCTCCCCTCTCCTCAACAAAATCCCTCACCCGTTGCTGCCCTAAACACCAGCGGTGGCAACCCGAGCGCCCCCATCCCTGAAGAACAACCACCGAACGAACCAAACGACAGACCAAACGTGCTCCTCGGAAAGTGGGCCCCACCCAGGTACCTCTGGCAGGCCCTCTCCGTCCTCATCTTCGCTGGCCAAGTCATCACTCGCGAGAAAGTACGGACTAGGCTCCTCTTATCCCGAGCCGCCTTGTAGAATGGGATAATGGGCCCGGGAAACCGGTCTAGGGAACTCGAGGAAACCCCTCGAGGTTAAACCTAGATAATCATTGTCCGGGAACCTCGTTTGGAAAAAGAAACTCACAAAAATGGTAATTTTATTACCAAACCATCAATAAAATCATTTAATGATGTGATCATTATCTTTAAATAATAAATAATATTAATTTTTTTTTTTCAATATTAGTTTTATATAATTAAATAAAGGTTAAAAAATATTACTCGACAAATATTAATTATAATTGATATAAGTAAAATCATTGCATAAATTATTTAAGGAAATGATCTTAAGGAAAGTCTTGAAGAGGAGGGGAATGATGCGGAAGCGGTCATCGGAGCCGAAGGATGTGAAGGTTGGTCGGGCATGGTCGATGGGCGAATAGGCGAAAGGCGCGCATCGGGCAGTGATGCGCGAGAGTTGGGCGTACACGGGCGCGCAGGGGCGCTTGACAAGCGCAGCATGCGCAAGGGGTGTTTTCCGGTGAAGAGCCTCCGACGCTCAAGTCAGTGAGAGAGAAGAAGATGAGTTCTGCTCAGTAGGAGCAGCAGCCCATCTGAATGTGCACACTATACCCGACCAAGTGTTCGAGAGCAGCAATGGAATCCCAGTGAATTCTATCCGAATGTGCACACGATACCCAGCCAAGTGTTCGGGAGTGAGCAGTGGAGTCCCAGTGAATTCCATCGGAGTGTGCACCAGTTTTACTTTTTATTTATTTTATAAAAAATT